TCGCTTCCTAATTTTATTTGCACATCAAAGGTGTGCTAAGGTTTATATGGTCTTTATGGCCTTACAGTAGCATACAAAATTCAAATTTCATCTTCAAGAGATGGTAATATAGATCTTTAAGAATTTTTTTATTGTACCTTCAATAAGTTCTGTAAAGAGAACTTGCATACTCAATTGACATATGTTATTTAATTTCTACTAACAAATAATTGTAATAATAAGATTACAAACAATGAAGTTTAAAACATGTATTAAAAAATAACAATTAATAACATAACCATAAATTAATGGCTGTAAAAAATATACCAAAATCAGTAAGAGTAGAATGAAACAGAGAGGAAAAATTTGAGCCCGCTGAACGTTAAGGAAATTATTCTCCACTATTACCTGCGGTTTATAGGATTACATACTTTCAACACTGAATAATTCTATTTACCAAAATGTTGATGCAACAATAATAGAATTAACTTAAACAATAATGGTATCAGTTAATTGTGCAGGAGAAGAGGAACTTTAGAATTTTCATTTTTTTAAATGAAAGAAAATTTTTCTCTTTATAGACAACAAAGTGTAGTGTGAAAAAATAGTTATTTTTTCTTAAAAAGTTATAACCTTCACAAAAATCATCTCTTTGTAAAAGTTATGATCCTTCAAAAAGGTCATAACGTTTTATAAAAGTCGCAACTCTTCATTAAAGTCACAACATTTCATACAAGTTACAACTCTTGATAATAGTTACAACTTTTATTAAAGAGAAAAACTAGTTTATAAAATAAATAAACTAAAAGGAAACTTTCTAGTGTGTGGTAGCGCCACATAGGTGGGCCTAATATACATGTGTGTGTGTGTATATATATATGATTATTGCTTAGTCTTCCTCTTGGTTATTTAAATCAATTTTGAATTTGGAAATATTAAAAGTTAAAATGGCCAGTGAAAAAAATCTCTTTGTCGATTTTAGAGGCCTCCCCAATTCAAAAGACGAAAATTTAGTGTAAGTTTATATACCTTAATTGTTCAAATTTTTCGACGAAATTAATGCAGATTTTCAAGGCCTACCGTGTTCATAAGTCGGGCTTATTTTTAAATTATTATTATTTAATTCATTAATTTTTATTCATATTTATTCATTACTAAAACTTTTACTAAGTTTCTTTATCGGTAACCCAAAGTTGCTTTCCGAGGAAGATAGTCAGACTTCATTATTATGTATATTATTGATATTAGGCAAAGCTTAGGTCGTTTCTTATGTTATCGTTTTTTTTAATTATGTACGCATATCACATGATTGTTGTACTTGTATATTGTTTTATCTCCTCCTCAATTTTAAAAAAATAAATTTAGTCGAGACCGACAATTATAGATTTCGAAGCATACCTAATACCTTCTCTTCAAAATTATTTGAACCCTTACCTAGAATCAATTGATTTTGCAGATTTTTTTTAAATTAATTAATCATTTTTCTATTTTTCCTTAAATTTGGTGGTGAATCCTTTTAAATTCATCTATTCCTTAAATTCTTTTAAGATTGATTATTTGTTGAGTCAGCACGACGTTTCACCTATTTGACTAATGTACATATGTAAACAGATAATATAAAATTTAAAAGGATGGGAAAGTATGTGAAAAATAATTTCAGATACTTGAAAAATATTTTTGAAATCATATTTAAAAGTGGGGGTTCATTACTCATGATAAACACAAAATTCTTGAAGTATAATTGATATTGTGGTCATTCAGTCTCTCTTTAATAGTATATGATATGACTAGTATAAGAATCACCAAATTATATATATACTTAATAAATAATTATGAAAAGTGACTTATCATGTTTCTGTTGTAAAAGAAACATTTGTGTCATATTGTCAATATTGGACCCGATAAGACTATGGTCACGAGTAATTCTGTAACAACCAATAAAATGTTATGCAAATTACCTTCTCAAAAGGATTTATGGAAATGTGCTAACTCTAAAACCATTTTTGTATTTGATAAAGTTATAAGAAGTAAAAAAAATATTTTTCGAAAAAAATTACCTCATGGAAGGTCTTTTAAAAATCAATAATTTTGCTCGTTAACACTTGTTTGAGTCAAACTGTTTCTGGCATAAATTCTTGAACATGTCAATTACAAAGCCTTTATGTTTTTTTTTGGTAACCAATTCATTAATTACCGAAAATCATTACAATGCAAGCAACTATTCTCAGCATGCTTAATCAAACAAAAACATCTCCCTAAAACCAAAAAAACTCCCTAAGCTTCAAATCTTCCTATGGCTAATCATCTTACAAATTTTCATAGGAGATCTTGCTATAGTTACAAAGGCAATCTTCTTAACTATCTCATCTATCAAAGTCTTCTTATCATCAAATATTCTCTTGTTTCTCTCATTCCAGACTGCATACACCATTTCAGCTAATAACAATTTGAATAGCTGAGCTCTTGTAGACTTCCCCTTCCCCTGTTGAATGCTCCATTGAATCAGCTGTGTCCATGTCCCGGCTCTGTTGCTGTTGAATCCAGCCCATGTTAGAACTCTTTTCCATACTTCATTCACATATTGACAATGCAGAAACATGTGGTCCAGCCTTTCATCCTCATTTGCACACAGTACACAAGGTTTCTCTTGTATTATCCCCCACTTAACAAGCCTATCCTCTGTGGCCAGTTTTCTATACATGAATATCCACAGTAAAAATATAGCTTTAGGCCTTGCTGGATTCTTGAACATGAGACATTTCCACACTGGTTTAGCCTGCTCCCCTCTCAGAGTATCATAAATTTGCCTTATCACCCCTTTTCCTTCTTTAATGTGAGCTTGATCAACAATTTGTTTAGCCTGCATTATCTTCCTGATCATCCAACTAGCTTGATCTCTCTTCTGCCATTCACTCTGTCCTCTTATGTAGTAAACATGTATCCATTTGATCCACAGCTTGTCTTCCTTATTTGCTAGATCCCAACACAGTTTGACTATTGCAGCTCTATTCCACATTTCCATATTTATCAGCCTCATCCCTCCTTCATTTTTTGGCCTACATACCTTCTCCCATGCTATTAAGGCTTTCCTAGTTACCTTCCCAACACCAGACCACAGGTAACTTCTACACATGCTATCAATTACTTTGATTACCTTAGTTGGAATTAAGAATAGCTAAGCCCAATAAGCTTGCACTCCAAATAGCACTGTCTGCACTAGTTGAGCCCTTCAAGCATATGATTGTTTTCTAGATGTCCATGAGGTGATTCTTGCCATTATTTTCTGTATGAGTGGGTACCATTGCAACACTGACATCTTCTTGGTTAATAGAGGTATTCCCAAATATTTAAAAGGTAGTTCTTCCATATTGTATCCAAGCTGCTGAACCATTTGATTCTTCACATCTTGTTCAACCCCTCGACAATATATTGAACTCTTACTAAGATTTGCTTGTAATCCTGAAGCTTGGGAGAATTGTGAGAAGCATAGTTGCATAGCTTTAACAGAATCCAAGTCACCTCTAGCAAACAATAGTAAATCATCTGCAAAACATAGATGAGTGATGTTAAGTTTAGAGCACCTAGGATAATATTTGAACTTCTTTTCATCTCTAAGTCCCTTCAACAGCCTACTCAGGTACTCGATTGCTATAGCAAACAAAAATGGAGACATTGGATCTCCTTGTCTCAATCCTTTAGCTGCATCAAAACTCTTTGAGATATGTCCATTAACAACTATGGAGTAGTTGACTGTTTTAACACATTTCATTATCCAATTGACAAACATGTTTGGAAATCTTAGCCCACACATTACTTGTTCCAGGTAATCCCATTCTACTGAGTCATAGGCTTTCTGCAGGTCGATCTTCAACATACTTCTAGGAGTGATATGCTTTCTAGTATAGGCTTTAACCAATTCATGATCAAGTACTATATTATCTGCAATCTTCCTTCCTGGAATGAAACCTGCTTGACTTTCACATGTAATGCTCTGAATCACCCCTTGGATTCTATTAGTTTGCACCTTGGAGATGATCTATACATCACTGTACAACAGGCTATTGGTCTATACTCTTTCACTGTTTTGGGATTCTGCACTTTTGGTATGAGTGTCACTAATGTACAATTAAACTCCTTATGTAGCATCCCAGTCTTAAAGAAATTTTCCACACCTTCAATGACATCCCTTTTAATTATCTTCCAAGTATGTTTAAAAAAATAGGCATTGTATCCATCAATCCCTGGTGCCTTATCATCCCCTATGGACTTCAATCCTTCAACTATTTCTTGTTCAGTTACTTCTCTACAAAGCTGAACTCTTTGCTGTTGTGTCAATGCAGGCCCTCTCTTAATCACTTTTACATTAACTGCTTGTAGCTTTCCTGCTGAAGTCCCCATTAAGCTCTTATAGAACATCACAAACTCCTCTTGTATTTTGTGAGAATCATAGAGCATATGACCACTTAAGCCCATAATACTTCTTATTTGCTTCTTTTGAGTTCTCTCTTTAATGACTGCACTAAAGTACTTGTTATTTGCATCTCCCAGTTGAATCCATTTAATCCTTGATTTTTGTCTCAAAGCATTCTCTTCAATTAAGGACCATTTTTCAAGATTGATCAATAACTCCTTCTCCTTCATAACCAACTCATCAGTAGCTTGTTCATTCAGCTGACTTTGAACATTTGCCACCTCTATTCTAGCCTGTTCAGTCTTCCTCCCAATGTACTTGAATTCTTTCCTGTTCAGCTGTTGTAGTCTATACTGCAGATCCTTCAATTTACACCACACCTTCTTCATTGAATCATAACCATATTGTCTTCTCCATGCAGTTTCTACAATCTCCAAAAACCTCTCATGCTCAGTCCAAACATTGAAGAATTTGAAACTATATTTCCCATGCTGTTGAGTTTTTTCCATAGTTAACATCATAGTGCTATGATCTGAAATATTTTGATTCCCATACTCTACCACTACATGTCCCCATTTATCCATCCATTCATCATTGCCAAAGGCTCTATCTATTCTGCTTGAGATTCTACTCTCTCCACACTGCTTATTACTCCAGGTGTAGTAATTACCATCCATTGCAGTTCATTAACCTCCATGTCTCTCACACATTCTCCAAAATCTTTTATCTCATTACTAGTAACAGGAACCCCAGCTATTCTATCCTTAGCATATAATACTGCATTAAAATCTCCTACTATCAGCCAAGGTTGTGTAATACCATGTGCTAGAGTTTCCATTTCTTTCCACAAACTCTTTCTCTGCTGAGCTGTATTAAGACCATATACTACTGTTAGTATAATCTGGTATCCCTTACTCCTTTCATTCACCTGGCAATGCACCATCTGAGTAGAGCTGGAAATTTTCTTGACTTCATACCAATTATTATCCCAAATCACCCAAATTCTGCCATTAGCACTATCTTCATAGTTGTGTAGAACCTGCCATCCTAGTGCTATCCCTTTAAGAACTGAACTCAGCTTATTATTTTTAACTCTAGTTTCTACTAAACCAGCTAAACACAATTTATTTTGTATAAGCAGTTTAATCTCCTTTTGCTTATACCTTTTATTCATACCCCTCACATTCCAAAATAACCACTTCATCAACAGGACTTTGGTGCTCCACCTCTATCAACAGAGAATGAAGCAGATTTCACACTCATAAGACTCTCAAATCCATTCCTTGTTGCAATAGGCTTCAGTATGGGAAATTTATCCAAGCTTAACTCCAGCTGACTATGCCCCTGTACTGCATTACTCTTTGGTGTTTGCACTATTTCTGAAATCTGTTCTTCTTCTTGTGGCCTCATCCTCATCTCTTGGCTATGCTCCTTCTTCTTCTCTTGTTCAGTCTTCTTTGTTATTGGCCCTTTGTATTGCCAAGTTTGTGTGACTTTCTTCCATGCTCTTCTTTTCTTTATTATCTCCTCATTTAAACCATTCTCCACTTGACATACATGTCCAATCTTCTGACATTTATCACAATACTGAGGCCTCCATTCCAACACCACTTCCTGTGAAAATGTCTTCCCATAAGGATCCATTACTGTGATTTTCTGGGGAATAGATTGTGTGACATTAACTTCTACTAACATTCTAGCATATGAAATCCTAGTTTGCTTAGTAGTACATTCATCTGCAAAGATGGGCAATCCAATTGCACTTGCTATACTGCTCAAGGATCCTTCTCCCCAACAATTCAAAGGCAACTTTGGAAAATTTACCCATAAAGGTATTTCAGTTAAGAACTCATTTCCAAACTCAAACTTAGGACACCATTGCTTCAGAATTATTGGTCGATTATTGATTGAGTATGGTCCTAAAAACAGAACCTCATTCATATCACTTAATTTCTGGAACTTGATCAAATAGTATCCATCAACAAGAAGGAATACTTCAGGCTTTCTCACATTTGACCAATTCATCATTATATACCTCTTCATTGTATTATACCCTGGGCATTCCCAATCACATAGGCAATAAGGGCACATTTCCATTTCTGCTCTTCCTCCTGAACCTCTTTCTCTTCAAGCTGCACTACTGCATGCCCATCAACTATCTGTGGTGGAACATAGGCTAGTTGCATTCCATTGCTCGCAACTCTATTATTTTTGAACATATTTACCCAAGGTTCAGCTGCTTGCTTCTTCTGTTCCTGATCATTCTCTACATGCTCCACCATATCCATACTCTCAACACTTTTTGATCCTGTTCTATCAACTTGGATCTCATTTTCAAAACCCTTTAGATCTAAGCTTCCACGTTCCATTTCCTTTGTACTTTGAGTTTCAAAACTCAATTTCCTAGCTTCATTAGTACTTGTAGTTAGCTCATCTTCATAATTAGTTTCCTCTTGTTGAGCTTGCTCCCGCTGCTGTGAGCCCTTTTCTTCCACATGAGTTCCTCTTGAGCTACTATCATCCATTACCAATGGTTTTCGACCTCGGCCACGTCCCCTTACTCTTCCCCTCGCCATTGACACTTTTCAGCTCACGTTAAGCTAACGTGCGCTGAGAGCATTTGAGAAGAAGACTTATTCCTATTTTATTTTTATTAAAGCCTTTATGTTGAATCTAAGTAAACTAATCATTCTTGTAAATTTGTTGAAAGAAATTTTAATCCCTTAGAGTTGATTTGCGTTTACATTTGTGATGTGAAGTCAACACCATCTCATGGTGGAAAAATGTGAATTGACAGTTTCACTATATACTGTTATGTCCATTTGTTGAATGGTAAATATGAAGTAATAGACACATCTAGGTAATATAAAACTAAGGTTGAAAATCCGTTGTATAAAAAAATTTTCATGATTAGAAATTGATAGATTTGGAGCATATGAATCTCCTTTTGCCGAAATATATTTAAAAATAGAATCATCCATCATATTACTATTCATAGTAACCTCAATACAATGGAATTGTTGAAAAGAGAAAATTGCACTTTGAAGGAAATGTTGAATGTCTTATTTATAAGTAAGGGTTTATCATAAATGGAGCAACAAGAAGTTTTGCTTGGTCAGAGTTTGTTGAATATTAATACACCACTTAAATAATATACAAGCAATAAATCTTTAAATATAGTGATTTAAAAATTCCAATACAATCTATTTCATATGAGAAATTAGAAGTAGGGAAATTCAATTTGAAATATTTCAAAGGGTAAGTTCCTATTTCCAAAAGGGTCAAAATAGAATATTGAGGCTTTGGATTTTATGTTTATTTGATATGGTATAAATTGTAAATCATGCTTATGTATGGTTTATAAGTACGGCGCATCAGAGAATCTTGTTGAGGGTTTAAAAGACATTGGAATGAATCAAAAAAGAATGTACCTAATAATGATATTCAGAGGCATACTAAATTTCAAAGAAAATAGACTTTCTTCAGATATGATGTTTTAACAATTCATCTTGAAAAATAAGTGTATTTTGTGGCCTCATATTTTTAGATAGAGTCAATCACTTTTACGGTAGATTCAATCTTAAGAAACCATACTTGAGAGTTCGATGATCTTCCTATAGGAACTATTGTAACATATAAAGAAAGACTTGTTGTCTTAGTCTTATAATGAGAACACCTTGATTATTTTGACAAATAATATCCACTTACTAGAATTACATCATTTTAGATGTTAATTGTGCTAGTTGCGGTATAGTACCTTCAAATTCTTCGAATGGATGTTAAAACAACTTTCTTACGTGGAGAATAAATGGAAAAACAATAACATGTAACAACCCAGTGACTTTGTGATTTTTATTAAAGAAAAGAAGGTGTGTAAACTTGTTAAGTCATTTTATGAACTAAAAACAATCGCCCAAACAATTACATGTGAAGTGTGACCAGACTATGTTAGCAAATTCATGTAATATTTAGGAATTTTATAAATATATTTACATTAAAGAAATGTTAATTATTCCAATGTATATACCCGGATCATACGATAAAACTTGAGAGAATGAGCAAATAATGCAATGAATGGAAATACCAACATTAAAACAAGGTACTCAAAATTAAATAAATATATAGTCAATGAAACCACACTACCAAACAAAATATTACTAACATGGGATCCAACTGGTCCTCACCTATGGCCTTGAGCCAAATATTATAATCATAAGCTAATTAAGGATATAACATGCCCACTGTTAATCAGCAAGTGAATCGATTAAGAAGAGATTTCAAAACAATGAAAGGGGAGATAAATTAAGGGAAGACCCCTCTTGTAATGATTTGAACCATCGTTATTTAGAAAGGGTAAGGAGACACAAGAGTTTTAGACACTGTCCCGCTATGCGCCGTTGCAGCGGCAACTTACCCCGCTAAAGCGGTATTGGTGCGGCAGAACTGTGATTTAATAAAATCTTTTTTTTTTTTATCTTTTAAAAATAACCTAAGAGGTCTTACATTACTCTAGAAACCTCATAAAGATTATTTCAATGTGGGAAAAGAAGGAAAGTGAGCTTTCTAGTATAGAGATGGTAGAATCTTGCGAGTTCAGGACCAAACTCACCAACAAAGTTGGAAAACGGAATCAAAACCTATTAAAATTACTTGGCGCCCAGGTAGGTCAGATTTTCTATGTTTGAGTAGTTTCAAATCAATACTTATCATGTAATATATGAATTCAAACAATATGAAGTAGGTGTAGATCTTCGCGCAACTAGTAATTTTGAGTGAAGTTGCTATAATTAAATGTTTATGGGGTTAGTGTCGTGTCGAGACGACAATCGATAGAGGTTCTCAAATGTGTTATTAAATGGTTTTACTTGTTAAATTATGGTACCAGTATGAGTAAAGATTCCGGAAATATATTATCTTTGAACGTTGTAGTGATAATTGTGTAGATTTAAGATAAATAGTAGCGAAACTTGGAACTCACACATAATTGAGCATGTGAGTAGGTGATGATTGTGATTCTATGATTGTTTGATATAAACTAGCTTTTTTTTTCATGATAATTCTATATGTATTCATGTTGCATTATTGATCATAGATGTTAAATGAGATATATGAATATTGAAACCATAAAATCATGATTTCATGGTGTGATCTTAATGTTTTGTTGTTGTTGTTATTGGGATTGACTAACACGTTCCACCACACTAACTGGGGTAAGATTACCATGTTCCAACATACTAACTAGGATAGACTGCCACATTTTGGCACACTAACTGGATTGGTTGCCACATCGGTTTAAAACTTGGATCAGATTGCCATAGTCTAGCATGCTAACAATTTTACTTTAGGACCCGTGATAGGGCAAACTACATGCGATAAAATGAGAACAGTGAAATATGTTATGCTCAATATCATAGGTGTGTATATGTATGTACATGTTGGGTGTGTTTAAGTTAGGATCTAATGGAACCTGAAGGGAGGTAAGTGGTACTTGTAATATACAATGTGGTTAGTATGTTAAAACTACGATCTAATTCAACCTTAAGGGTTGTGGTGGTACTTGTAGTATACAATGTTGTTAGTATGTTTAAGCTGTGATCTAATGGAAACTTAAGGGTGGTAGTGGTACTTGTAGTATATAGTGGGGTTAGTTTGTTTAATATATGATCTAATTGAACCTTAAGGGAGGTAGTGATACTTGTAGTAAACAATGTGGTTAGAATGTTAAGCTGTGATCTCATGGAGTCTTAGTTGTGTTAGTTCTAGTAGTAGTATACAATGTTGTTAACATATCTAGGTTGGACCATGTAGGAAGAAATAGGTGGTAATTGGAAGGTGATGAAAAAAATTGTCTAAGGGTGGAGAATCAAGTGGTCCAGACATGATGTTTCATTGTTTTGTTCATATATAATGAAGTGGGCGTCGCATTGGCCGATGATGCCTACCAGTACGTGTAGTTGTACTGATACGACTTTACCTATATCTTTTAACATAGTCCAGATGCAGGATTTCTGATGTTTCCTTAGGTGAAGATAAAGAAATCCTCCGGCAGCGTTGACTTTCAATCCGCATGGTGGAAACTTTGTATTTTGTTTAATTTGCCTTATTATTGTCTTAGCGGCTCTATTACTTGTCAGACTAGGTCCTTGGGGACTGGTAAACTATTTTGTGAAGTGGTATTTCGAATGGGTTAATTCTTAAATTTCCTTTACTTTCCTTCGTTCTTTTTAAATTTTGCATGTTTTCTAGTTGTTAGGATATAAGGTTCTTTTACATTTGGATTTAGAGTAGCTTCCCGCACGACCCAGTTTGTTGGGTCGTGACACCTACCCCAATCACAACATTTCAGTGCTAGACTGAGTATAACTAGGACCAACCCACGACAATGACAAGCCACCAACATAACAAGTATCTTCACATGAATAATGACATAAAATAAGTCCTAAAGACAAAAAACAATAACTACAGGCTTATTTAAGACACCTTAAAACATCTAGTGTCCATCCTACTATAAGGAACCTCAAATCAATATTAACTAAAATATTCAATATCATCTAGTCCAGAAGCAAAGACAAAATATAAAAAGAAAGGATCTTTACACCCATAATAAGACAAGGGTCCTACAAAATCAAGAAACTATTAAGTAACAAAAGAAAAGGTAAAGACCTCGGAAATACCATCCAAAAATAATTTGTACCAACATTGGGCATTATCTTCGAAGTTCAATTAAGAAAGTTTAACAAAACCTACCTCAAAATTGAACACAAGCGCTCCTAATCAACCAGACACGGGCTATCCCTAACCAAAATGTCACCAAACACCGCCAAACAAGCAAATTATTGATCACAATATTAATACTGACACTTTGACGATAATATTGCAAAAATTTAAAATAGACCCAAAATGGAATCTAAATAGGAATGTGTGACTCACACTAAAAGTCCAGAAATTGACTAGGTGAAAAGATCCTAATTGACTAGCCGAGCTTGTGACCCAAAAATAAGGTTCAATTCCAAGCTCAAAACATC